GATTTCTGATATTACCGAGGAAGCAAAGTGATGGAGAAGGAGGGATTCTACAGCCCAAGATGGTGGAGAGTTTCTCTGTCACTGCTATCCAGAGGGAATGAACTGGTTGGCAGGTCCAAGTAGCATGAAAGTAACTGTCGGTGCAACCTAGAGTGCATTGTGAACAGATGTCTGTGTCAGTAAAGCCCATTTTGAACAGTTTACCTTGTGTAATATGGGTCTTGTATATGGTCTTGTATTGTATAAGTTGTAAGTTTACATTGCTGGTCATAGAAAAGATGCTATTGCAAGTTTCTGTCCAGAAGTAGGAAGTTAAGGGGGAGAGTTAAATTGTTTTCCCATTTGAGTTTTGGTATTGTTATTGTTGAATATGTATTTTATATGAGTTTATATAGCTTGGATATTATTTTCTTGGAACCTGTAATTTTCATGATCTCTTCAATTAATTTGGAAGGTTGTAGTGGGTTATTGATTACACTAATCTTTGACTTAATTATAGATTTTAGTTGATTGTACTGGAGGAACTGTTCTCTCTGCTGTCTCATTATTTGTGATATTCTAGGTCTTCATATCTTCTACTGTATGATCAACCTCAGCTATCCTAGAGTTCCCATACCTGGGTCTACTAGCATGTCTGTCCTTTTGGCTACTCAACCCTCTGCCTGCTTCTTCCAGTTCTTAGCAGGCACGAAGGAACATGAGCCAGTGTGGCTCCCCGTGGTGTCAGAGCCAACCAAAACACATGTGGGTGTCAGTCATACAGGCACAAACAAAAGTTGGATCCTATGTCTGCCAGACTGGACCACATTCTGGAGTGTCTTGTCTTGTCCAACTCACCTGTCTGCCTGCTCATTGCTTATAAAGCTGTTTTTTTATTCTCTGGTTACTACATGTATTTAGGGGCCAAAATAATCAGTAGTGTTGGTCAGATCACTGTAAAAAGTAACAGCAAGTTTTGGTTATTACAATTTAATATGCAATAACTGTCTGCTAGAGGCTCAGCTTAGGCTGCTACTGATTAATGATAAAAGAGAGATATTTCCATGACTGGAAATGTTTTGTCCAAAATATAGATAAATATCTGTCTGAATTTCTGTGTAAATTCTTCCACACAACTCTTTCAAAAGTATGGTTTGAAATGGGGAGAAAGTCTTAGAAGAAAAGAGAAGCTCTAATAGTGACTGTTGCCTTCTTAAACATATCATATTTATTATGATCAGAGAGTATGAGATGTACATACAGAGTTGCATGACTGCTCCCAGTTGATAGATCTTTGGCCCACATGTCCAGACATGTATCAGACAAGAGGATCTTGAGAGGTTCCACACTCAACTGGTTAAAGCCATATTCCCCATGCACAAACATGAAACTCAGGGTGCTGGTTGAGACAATACTCTACATCACACATGTCCCTGAATCATCCTTACTAATGGAACTCAGTGTCCCAGAGACAACACACATCTGTATCTTAACTCATTTGAATCCTAAAGAGTTACATATAGCATCACTGACACATGCGTGACCTGTGAATTTCCACCACACTGAGTGTTGTTTGTGTCTCTTCCACTGGGCATAACCCTTCTACCCTTGCTCACTAAATGGTAGTTGGCACAAACACCGGGTCCAATTTACCGCTGGAAGGCTGGATTGAAACAGAGGAAGGTGAGAAAGAGACGAGAGGAGGTTTGGTGTGAAAGAGGGAGGAGTGGGAGGCCCATGTTAGGCCTTATTGAGGGCAAGGCATGAGTGCAGACAGTAAAAGGAAAATGCTCTACAGTCTCTGCTCACAACATGATCTTCCCGAACTGCTTAGCAAGTAAGTCAATCTCCTCACAACAATGCAGGGACTTTTCCCTGATAAAAATGAACACATTGCATGACAGCATTTTACACGTGCAATAACTATATGCTTTGAAATACAAGAAACTGATTAAAAATTAAATATGTTTTGTGTAAATGTCTATTGCACATCAAGGGAGAACAGTATTAACTGACCTCTTAACCTAATCCATGCACTTTCAGAGACTGTGCTAGTTTACAGTATTTGTCTATTTAGCAGAAAGTGTGCAAGGTTAGCCCAGTGGAGACGGTGCAGTCAGCGCTGAGGCAGGCTATTACCCTATGAAATACAACATGACAGAAATAGACTGGCTTCAGTAAGGCACCTTGAGGCACCAGCCCTGTGGAGACGTTGCTGGGGTCAAGGGGGACTCAGCTGAAACCTTTATTTAGTACATTAAAAACTCATTTATTGCCTACATTCAAAGGTTAATGGACATGCTAACTGTGTAATGTAATGAAACTTTGCACAGAACAGGAACAACATACCTTTGCATAACTATAATTATACTGCAATACATCCAACAGGTAGTAAGCAAGTGCTATTTTATGAAGCTGAACCACACATTAATTCTCAAAAACTCAACCCTCCCCACTTAGATATGTAGTAATGTGCAGGGTTATGCTTCAAATGTGACCTCATGACTTCCTCTGACTCACAGAGGGTAACAAGTCAACTAAATGCTTCCTCCATTTCAGCTTAATCTCACAGCAACAACAGCTGCATTTGTCCTAAAACTAGACTGCCCGGTCACACACCTTCCTGTCCACAACACAGCCTAGTAAACAGAACAAGAACAACAAGAATTAGCCCATCCCCGTCACAGTTGGTCAGCAGACATGTGCCTCCAATTACCAATCTCCACTTCAGGAACTGTCATGCTCATTTGGAGATGTGTGATGCAATGAGCTATATCAGCGAACTTGTTCCTGGGTGACAGAGTTAGATTGAGTAGGCAGCTAAATATTAGCCAGTGGTGTTGACTACACCTCACCCTGTGTATTGCCTCCAATAAGACAAATGACTGACTCCTCTTCTTCAGTGATGAAGGCCCTCTGTCATCTTTTAAAACAGTAAGAGAGGGTCCATGTGGGAGCCTATCAGCTCTCATTGCTGGAATACAAAAATAACCAATGACAGTGTCCATTTCAGCCCGGTGGCCTGCCTTGCCCTGCCACTCGACACCCACTGGTTATTCCAGTGTGAGCTAGCTAGC